GGTTTTGATGATTTACAGTTGAAGACCTTTGATGAAAACAAGCATTTTCTACTTGGGCGGGGAGGAGGGGGCATGGCCCTGAGGTAAGGGTGGAGCCAGTCATCAGAGTGGTGCCCTGCCTCCATCTACTCCCCACCCTTGCCCCACCCCTCCCCTTCCCACCTCCTGGCCCCACCGCCAGCCCCCAGCGACAAACAACCCTCACCCCCAGCCTACCCCGCCTCAGCCCAGGCCTGAGCCTGGCTCTCAATGACCCAAATGATGTCTTAGGTACATCCTCCAACCCCTCATTCAACCCACCTGCCTGATTGGACAAATGATAGCTTTGAGGGCTCAGGAGAGGAGCCGAGAGTCTCAGGAGGTCTCTCACCCTTTGCACCCCAGTTTCACAAGGAGTCTGCCTTGCTCAGGTCCTCAGGCCAGGCCTCCCTGCCACCAGCCTGCCTCTCCCCTCCCAAGCACAGTACAGACCTCAGGGAAAAATTGGCCAGGGGTCCCCATGGTCCACAACCAAGACCAGGTCCAGATTCGTCATCCCACAAAGGATCAGGCCCTCAACAGCCCCCTCCCAGCCTGCCAGCTCTTCAATGTGCTTTCCTGACCTGGGCAGTGTGAAGACTGTCCATCCTGGATGTCCAAGGACTGGAGGGGACATAGACTGGTTCTGCCCCCTCTCCAGAAACTCTGGGCAACAAATCTCCACCCCTGTGGGCTGAAGGCATGGGGCACCACTCCACAGCCCTTGTCACTCCTGATCCCACGCAGGCCTCCTTCGCTCTTTCGGCCCTGCCTGACTCTGTGGCAGTGGGCAGAGTATTTTAGCAGCTGCCTGCTGAATGTTCTCTGCAGAAGTCCCAGGCAGCCTGAGTGGGCAGCTCTCTGCTCCAAGGCCCATAGCTGCACAGGTGGGCCCCTGACTTCCAGGCTACAGGCCAGCCCTGTGCCTCAGCAGGCACGAGTGTCTCCACCTCCCCCCAAACCTACCTCTTGGCCTCTCAGAGAAGTGGTGATGGAAGCCGCAAGGAGCCAGGCCCAGACAGCTTTGAACCCGGTGAGAGTCACTGCAAAGCCAGGTGAGTGGTCCCTGGGGCCACAGCTGGGACAGCAGAGGTCAGGGTGACGCTGGACCCCCTGGAAGGAGGCACGGAAGCTAGGCAGCAGCTGATCCCTCCACTGTCCAGCCTCTCTAGGAGGGGTCTCCATGGACAGTGTCTTCTTGGGGACTTGCTCCTGGGCTGACAGAGCCAGACTGTCTGCTGCTCTCTGGCCTCACAAATTCAACTGCTCGTTGGCACCAATCTCCCCTTGACTAACAGACACACTGACATGCCAAGACCAGGTGGATTCCCCCAGCCCTACCCACACTTCTCGGTCTGTGGGACCTCCCCTCCTAGTGCGCAGCCATCAGCATGCAGATAGTCCTTAGGGCCACAGGTCTGGACAAAGCCATTGGATGTATAGGTTGGAAGCAGAGTGGGAGGGGCCAGGTTGGTTGGGCAGAGATGATGGGGGCTGGGTCTGTGGGACTTGGTTGAGGACAACTGCCCTCTTTATGCCATACTTGGCCCTTTGGGACCCCACATCCTTGGCTCAAGAAAGAAGGCAGGACATGCTGCCGGGCTTCCTTTTGATGGATGAGACAGGTGAAGGTGTGAGAGTGCCTCCCACCCCAGCATAGTACTGGGAGGGCCTCAGAGGGCCAGGGCATGGGATCCCTGGGCAAATGCTGGACACCCTGTGGGCTTTAGAGCCCATCCATTCCCCTGGAGGGCAGTGTGAGCCCCATGTGCGTCCAGCTGCAGCCACTGGATGGCTGTGTACACACAGAGGGTGACCCTTGGCCAGCTGCCACGTACTCCTGGGGAAGTGCTTCCCCAAACTGCCAACCCCAGACCTGCCTTGAGAATCCCAGGAGAGCCGAGATGGGAGCATCCAGGAGAGCCAGAGGGCCGGGGCACCAGAGGCCGGGATCCTGGCATCAGATGGCGGCGGTGGCCCTGCCTGGAGCATAGTAGAGTTGCTCAGGCAAGAGACACCCCCCACACACACACACACAATATTCAGGTGTAGCTGTGAGCCTTGATGCTGTGTCCTGTGACCTCTTCGTGAGCAGGCAGGGGTGCAGCTGTGGGGTGAGAGTGGGAGACAGGCTCTGTCTGTGACCTGGGGGACAGGTGGCTTCTTGGGGTTCCTCAGGCAACTCCCTGCAGTCCCTAGGCTACTCAACAAAACCTTTAAGCAGGGCTCCTGGACACCCAGCCCAGGCTCTGGGAAGGGCTGGGCAGCCCAGTGGGATGCGGAGGGGAGGTGGTCTCAGAGCCAGTGCCCGGGTTCAAAGCCAGATCTGAGCTGTCTAGATCTGTGGCCTCAGAAAGGAAGTAGGGGTAATAAAATGCTTGGGTCCCAGGGGATTAAGCATAAAGGAGAACTGGAGATGCTCTGGGCAGGGTCTGGTGCACAGTGCCTGCTTCTGGGGATGTTCGCAGGGGGTCTGTGAGGCAGACCTCTTCCCTGTGACTTGAACCCCACCCATACCCACCTGGACACACAGCCTTGAGAGTTGAGGGACTGTGCAGTTAGGAGCACCTCCCTCGGGGTTGCAGGCTGACTAAGCGTGGCGCCTGCAGATACTGAAGGAAGGGATTTGCACCATCTTGGAGGATGCTCCTCATGGCCAGAGGGGAGGTCGGCTGGAGGCCCATGTCAGTCTATGGCCACCTGCAGTGTTGGTCTGAAGCCACAGAACCTTCCAGACCCTTTCCAAACATGTGCCCACATGGGCCTGGACACAGGGAGTGAAGCCACTGGGTCACGACCCCTCATGGGGCCAGGCTTATGGCTATTGGACAGGCTGCCATGATGGAAGGAGAGGGGATAAAATCCAGCGGGGCCTGAGGGCTGGGCCTCTGCAGGACCAGCATTGCTTTTGATAAGAGCCCATGATGTCCCACAGTCCTGTTTGGGGAAAGATGCCAGGCAGCCCTTGTGTACCTGGCCTTGGGTGCTGGACCCACGCTGTGTGTTGGCTGCCTGTGGCCACCATCTAAAAGATGAGCAGACTCTAACACCTTCTCTTGTGCCAGGGATGCAAGGCAGCTTGTGTAGTATATGCCAGCTCAGCGCCTGGCATACTGGAAGGATTTAGCGAATGCTAATGTTACTATTCCTTCTTGGCATGTTTTATGTTCGATGTTTGAAAGTGTGTGTGTGTGAGAGAGAGGGGTCCAAGCTGTGGGTGTGGGCCTCCGAGGACAGCCTGGATGGTTTCACAGAGCATGGGGGCCTCTCCAGGGCTGTGTCCTGTGAGAAGAGCCCCGGGGCAAGCTGCACCCCACCTCATGCCCAGAGCTGCAGGAGAGCTTAGCAAACATTGACGTCTGAATCTGCGTGCTTTGTTGTAGACTTTGTCAGCCCCCTCAGCCCCCTTCCTGTGTGACCTTCTGTGGGTTTAAGTTTTAAGCAAGGGGTCTTGATAGGAGAATTGGTTCCTAAGTAAGGCTCTGCATCCATCAGGAGTGCTTTAGGCTTCAGGAAGTGAAAGACCTGACTAGCCACGGCCTTAAGTGATGAGTGCTCGCTTCCACAACCAGCACAGGGAGGCGTGTGGGTCCAGGGCTGACTCAGCACGTCAGTGCCGTCCTCAGGGCTGGGCTCACCCTGCCTCTCTTCACTGCCATCCATAATATGCTAGCAGCCTTTTCTCTTCAGCCTTGTCTCCTCATGGTTCGGGACAGCTGCTACAGTGCCGGTTATCACACCCTTATACAGCTATGTACACAAAGTTGGCAGGGCACTGACCTTCCCCAGAGGGCCCTCCTGCTAAAAACAGGCTTCCCGTCACCTGTCATTGGCCAGAACTGGGCCACACGCCCAACTATAAACCAAATCACCAGCAAAAACGGGACAGGATAACTGGTCTTGGCTTAGCTCGATCATGGGATGTCCCCTCAGCCTGGTGAGGGGCTGTCTTCCTTTAAGATGCTAGCCCCCCAGTCTCCCAACAAAACGTGGGCTATCAAAACTGAGGAAGAAGGAGCAAATAGCTGTGTCATCTCCTTATTGGAATTCAGAGCATCTCCGCACCTGAGCTCACATGGAAAACTGCCAGCAAAAGAGGGTGAGGTTTTTGAAGAGTGGATCCATGGCTTTTATTTGAGTATCTGCCCTTTCTTTTTTGGTCCGAATATCCAGGGAATCAAAATGGCCTTTTCTGCATGAATATGTGCTATTGTGCAAAGAAGGAAGGGCCACCATACCACTGTCCACATGCAAGGTCAGAGCAGGGTCTCTGCTTCCTGGGGATTCATGGGCATGGGTACTGTGTTTACACCCAACCTCGTGCCACCACAAAGGGGTGAGTAAGTGGCCACTCCTCCAAAGAGTGTTGGGAGGAGACCCTCGCCCAGGCTGTCCATACTCATCGGAATGGTGACGTTGAATCTATCTTTTATATATAGGGACCCTTCCTCCCTCTAGCAACTTCCAGGCTGTGGACACCATGCCCAACAGACACCTCTAACTAACTGGTGTCACCTCTAACTGGTGCCTTGACTAACAGTGAAAATTTGCACCACTGGCCCATTTACTCCCTTAGCATAAACTCCTAGAGGTAGAATGATCAGATCTTTTAGACAATAATGCCAGCTGCCCATCGCCCTCTAGACAGGCTCTTCCAGCCTGTGTCTCACCCACTCTCCTTGTTAGCACCTCCCTCTTCCCCTGACCTGGATCAGGGGTACAAAGGGAGGTGCCTCATCTGCCCTCTGCCCCTCACCCCCAGGCTGCATTTGTTTAGAAGGGGTGTTGGGACTCCACTGTCTTAATTTTCCAACTGGTTTTAACTGCAGTAGTTTGAAATGAAGGTCATCCCGGACTCAGGGTCAGGGGGCAAAAGGAGACCCTCAGTGTGGGTGAGAAACACCCTCTCCGCAGGTCCCCCCTCCCCAACTCTGCACAGCTCCTCTCCCACCCAACTGCTCCCCATCCCCCTCCCTGTGCAGGCGGAACAGATCCTGGCGGAGTTCCAGCTGCAGGAGGAGGACTTGAAGAAGGTGATGAGGCGGATGCAGAAGGAGATGGACCGAGGCCTGAGGCTGGAGACCCACGAGGAGGCCAGTGTGAAGATGCTGCCCACCTACGTGCGCTCCACCCCAGAGGGCTCAGGTACTGTGGTCCAGGACAGGGCTGGGATGGAACCCACAGGGGAGCCAACAGGTCCTCAACCATAGGCAGCTGTCCCCTGGCTCCAGCAGGGAGAAGTGCCCTAGGCCCTTCCTAATAGAGCCCTGACTGTCCCTAGCAGCCTCAGTGTGCTGGGCCCCAGACACTGGCCTGTTCTTACTCGGCTCCATTGGCCCAACCCTGGGGCCTTCAGGCTCATTCTGACCTCAGAGAAACTGGCTTTTTTCATTTCACAAGGAGAAAAATGGTTTCCTATAGTCATTTGAGGGGCTCTCAGCCCAATCCTGAGTCTGGACCATTTTCCTAGATCTTCGGGTGGGCTCTGGGCTTGGGGGGACTGCAGTCTAAGGCAAGGAATTCCTGCTGACTTACCCAGTTCACCTTTGACCCTTTCCACAGTTTACTATGGGGTCCGGTACCAGGGGCCCCTCTGGTGCCCCCACCATGCCTTTACCTCCTCTTCTCCAGTCTCAGGGGTCCTGCCAGGCGGTGCCCATGAGACTGATGTACTTCTGTCTGTGGCTGCAGAAGTTGGGGACTTCCTCTCCCTGGACCTGGGTGGCACCAACTTCCGGGTGATGCTGGTGAAGGTGGGAGAAGGCGAGGCGGGACAGTGGAGTGTGAAAACTAAGCACCAGATGTACTCCATCCCCGAGGATGCCATGACGGGCACTGCTGAGATGGTGAGCACCCTGGGCTAGGGAATAAGAGGCTCGGGGGCAGGTGGTGCAGCGACCAGGGTCAAGGCCTTCCAGGATCTTGGAGCTTGGTTAGTCCTGGTGTTAGGGCCTACCTGTTCATCAAGGGCAGGTGGCTGTGGGCCCAACTTCAGGGGGCCCTGCTACAGGAAAGGGAAGCAGCTGAGAGGCCTAGGTGGATGGCCGTGGGGCATGGCCCCAACAAGTCGCACCCCTGCCCAGTTTCCTAGAAGGATAAGAAACATGGTAGGACAGTCAAGAGAACACTCTGGTCCAACAGGCTCACAGTCCATGCATGCATTCTCCTTCCTCCCCAAGTGGCGTTCTCTCATCCTCCACCAACACAGATGCCAGGTGGCGTGACTGCAATGATAATATCTGCCCATGGGGAGGACTCAAGAAGGACCACAGAAGTAGAATGAGCCCTAGGGGACGTGGATGGAGCCAGAGCCAATTTCCTTGAGGCACAGGGTTTTGAGAGCCAATTTCCTTGAGGGACAGGCCCATGGCAGCCTCGTCCTTGCCATACCCTGGAATGCTGCAGGACGGGGCATGCACCAAGGAAGCAGGATGGTGTTGCTGCCTCCCTGGGCCTGGAACCCACTGGGAAGCTTAATCGATCAGCAGGCACTCAGTAATGCCCAGCTCTGGACAGGCCTATGTGAGTGGGGTGGTGGCCAGTCCTCACAGGTCCAGGGGTTGGGTGGCCAGGACACTTGCAGGCAGCAAAGAACACTTTGGGTTTTGAAGCCAGAAACCATAGTTATAGCCAGGCATACACCTCTGTCAAAAGTCTGAGGCTAGATGCTGCTGGGTCCAACTGGGAGGGCCAGACTGGCAGAGCACAGCTGGGTTGGGGACCAACCCAATTGTCCTGGCATTGCCTGTCCTGAGGACTGCTGTCTGTGGGACTCTGGCATGGGGGTTGTGCACAGGGCTTGCTTGAGTCCCGACAAGCAGTGGTGATCAGGAGCAGGGGACTGAGGGGAGGTCCAGAGGCCATGCTTTCAGGCGCCTGCAGTTCAGCAAGGGCTGAGGAGCATCCTGGCACGAGGCTCGCACTCTGCAGCCGATGGCCAGAGGTTGTTGGTGTTGTCTTCCAGCTCTTTGACTACATCTCTGAGTGCATCTCTGACTTCCTGGATAAGCATCAGATGAAGCATAAGAAGCTGCCCTTGGGCTTCACCTTCTCCTTTCCTGTGAGGCATGAAGACATCGACAAGGTGGGGCTAGGTGTGAGGTTGGCAGGGGAGGAGATGGATGGATGGGTGGACAGGCACCCCAGAGAAAAGGGCCCATGAACTCTGCCCTGGGCTGCTTTCATATGCAGCACCCCATGTTGGGAAAGAGCCTTGAATTCAAACAAGCTCCATCATTTAACTCCTGTGAGACTCTGGGAAATAGTCATAATACTAGCTGATTCTTACTATTTGACTCAAGCCTTCTCGCAACCCTGTGAGGTACGCATAACACCCCCATTACAGAGTAGGAGACTGAGGCATAACAACTTGCCCACAGTGGGAAGTGGCAGCGCTGGGGCTCAATCTCAGGCAGCCAGGCTCCAACACACCAGCATGTCATCACTACACTATACCTTCTGCTGGGGAGGCGGCAATGTCCCAGGGCTGCAGCTTTACCCTGCCTTCTGGCAGGTAAGTTAGCCTGCCAGTTATACATGCCTCCACACATCCTCCACATATCCACACCTATATGTAAATCACACACAGACATAGACACATGTAAATTATGTGTATATGTGTGCATAAGTTACACATGTGAATAACATGTGTGCACATAAATTATACTTGCATGCACTGCATGTGTTTAAATTACACACATGTATGCACTCATGCTGATTATACATATATAAACACATAAGTGGTACATGCATATTTTTATACATAAATATATTACACATACATATATACACACACAGGTCAGTTATATATTTGTATATATCTACACATGTCAATTATACATTCATATATACATGTAAATTATACACATCAAGTATATATACATATACACATGTAAATTACACCTGCATATTTACACGTCAATCATACCTACATGTGTATATGCATGTGATCATATATATATATATATATACACATTCACAGGTAAATGATACATACTCATTTACACATATTAATTATACAAATATATACATGTGTGTGTGAATTATACATACATATATACACACAATTATACACAACACACGAGACCTCTGGGTCAGAGAGAAAGCCAAAGTCAGTACTCCTGGCAGAAGCAGCTGTGGGAGCAACATCTTATGTTGGTTTTCCAACCCCCAGTCCCCACTGAACACTGGGGGCCAGATGGGACCTTCAGATGGGGTCCCAGATGGGACCTTCACACACAGGAGCTGCACACAGGAGAGGAGCCCTGGTCTTACACTGGCTGCTCCCCTCCGGACCGCCTTCTCACTCAGGGATGATGGCTCTAGGCTTAACTATACAGCCATTCTTAAATTGGTTGGAACCCAGCTCTGCAGAAATATGAGATATGCATAGAGAATTGTCTCCAACACTTTTCAAAGTTATATGGCTGCTTTGAGCCTCAGTTTCCTCAGCTTTAAAGTGGGTGCACCTTGTACTTCCCTGGCAACCCAGTGGTTAAGATTCCATGCTTCCAATGTATGAGGCACAGGTTTGATCCCTGCTCAGGGAATTAAGAACTCACATGCTGAGCCACATGGCCAAAAATTTAAAATAAATAAATAAAGTGGGTGCACATCCCTGAGGTATGAGTTAGCTCCCATACCCTCACATCTAACCCTAGCATCCAGCAGTCACTGAGACCCTCCTCTCCCCCTAGGGCATCCTTCTCAACTGGACCAAGGGCTTCAAGGCCTCGGGAGCAGAAGGCAACAACATCGTGGGGCTCCTGCGAGATGCCATCAAACGGAGAGGTGTAAGTGGCATCTGCACCTGCCCCTGTGACTGCCCTGGACCCTCCTCCCCTCACCTTAGGCCAGGATGCTAGTGAGGGCCTGCTGGGTGTCCCCTCAGGAAGGGGTCTGCCTCCTGTGCCTGGCTGGAACGGCTCAGAGCCCGCTAAGCTGAGACCCCCACCCCCATCCAGCCCCATCACCACTGTCTCTCCACCTCTTGGCAGGACTTTGAGATGGACGTGGTGGCGATGGTGAATGACACTGTGGCCACGATGATCTCCTGCTACTATGAAGACCGCCGGTGTGAGGTTGGCATGATTGTGGGTAAGGATGCACACACTGCCCGACCCAGGGGCCCCAGCCACCCAAAGACAGAGCTGAGGCTTCTCATCTACAGCAGGCTGCACAGGGCCTCTGCGCCAGTACAGCCACTTGAGGTACTGGAGCCCAGGGTGGTCTTGTGAGCAGCAGGGATGTCCCAAATGCACGTGCTATTTATTGGTAGGAAGCATTTCAACACTCGCAAGTCACTGCCTCAGATGGCACACCAGCTGCATGTCCACCTGGCCCGTCAGGATTTGATTAAATCACCTCATCTGGTAAATTGACCAATGTGGACAGATTTGTCCAAGTGGAAGAGGATAAACCCGAGTGGCGTCATCCCTTCCTAGACAGTCTTACCACACCCCAGGGCAGCTGGCCACCCTGCTGGAAATGAAGGCAGGTACCTGGAAAGGAGACAATGTGGGCCCCAGTGGGCCCTTCCCACTAACCGTGGGCCTTTCCCAGAAGTTCCCGGGGCCTTTACAATGTTTACTGCAATGCTTGAACACACAGGCATGTGGGTATTTCCCTGGACTCTCTGGGCCCTGGTTACCTAGAAAGGCAGAGTTAAGTTTGTTTGCTTCTACGGCCCCTTCAGAGTCAGCCCTGAGGGGTCTGCATTCATGTTCTCACCATCCCTCTGCAATTGTATGAACATGTCCTAAGGGGCAGCCTGTTTGACTCTGCCTCTCCTCTAGTTTCTCACATCTCTTCCTTCCACCTTCACCTTCCAGCTGAAAGTTAAGTCCACCCCTGAACAGAAGCTCCAGGGGCCCTGGCTCTCTCCTCCCTGAGAGGAGAGAGAACCGCCTGGGTCAGTTCCCCAGCCCACCTCCACCTGGGCTCTGTGGCCGACGGCCTCAGGCTCACCCCTGGAGCAGAGACGGTAGAGTGGCCTGTGATCACATTTGCCCTGCAACACTCCAGGTGTCTCTGCTCTGTGGTTAAACACGTTTATGATAATTACCAAGAGTTAAAAGTTGGGAGGAATCACGTCAAAGGCTGGATTTCTGTATTTTTTCCCCCACAAAATCTTGGAAGGCCCAGCATCACTGGGCCTGGACCCCAGGCAGCTCCGCTGCTGGTATGAGGTTGGCATGACTGAGTGGCTGTCCCTCACAGCTTGAGGGGAGGCAGTCACGTTCAGGCTGATGCTGTGCTGTCACCATTTTGAAACTCAGTTTATGAACAAAGGACTCCATGTTTTCACTTTGCATGGGACCCTGCAGATTATAAATTCCATAGCCAGGCCCGCCTGCAGTGGCCCGTGTGCTGCTCCCAAGGACCCACACTCTGCCTCAGTCACCACTGGGTGTGTGCGTGCGTGCTCAGTTGCTCTGTCGTGTCCGACTCTTTGCGACCCTGTGGACTGTAGCCTGCCAGGCGCCTCTGTCCATGGAATTCTCCAGGCAAGAATACTGGAGTGGGTTGCCATTTCCTCTTTCAGCGGATCCTCCCAACCCAGGGATTGGACCCATGCTTCCTGCATCTCCTGCATTGGCAGATGGATTCTTTACCACTGAGTCACCTGGGAAGCCCTACCTCTGGGTGTGCCCCCCCCCCAAAAAAAAAAGAACAGGGGCTGAGACAGAGAAGCTCAAATAAATGTTTAGAAAGTGCCAGAAAACAAGAGATGCACAGACAAGACAAAATCATAACATTCCACCCACATCTGTAATTGGCAAAGCACTTTAACATACATTCTTTCCCTCACTTCTCTCAACTCCAGGTAACAGGAGGAGTAGGTGTTACCAACCCCTTTTGGGGAAGAGGAACCACCCAGGGAGGTGGGCTTATCAACCTGAGGTCACACAGCAAACCCTGACCTTCCAGCTCCTTCGAGAGCTGGTTTTCCTTTGCTGCAGGGGGAGGGAGGGAGTGGTGAGGATGGAGGGCTCAAAGAAGCTGGGAAGACAGGCCACATAGGGCTGGCTTCCTGCAGGGGTGATGCACCCAGGACAACTGGCATGCCAGGTGGGGTCTGATGATGCCACTTCCCATAGGCACGGGCTGCAACGCTTGCTACATGGAGGAGATGCAGAACGTGGAGCTGGTGGAAGGGGACGAGGGCCGCATGTGTGTCAACACCGAGTGGGGCGCCTTCGGGGACTCAGGCGAGCTGGACGAGTTCCTGCTGGAGTACGACCGCGTGGTGGATGAGAACTCCCTGAACCCGGGGCAGCAGCTGTAAGGACTGCCCCTCCCCCGACCGCGTGGCAGATGGGGCCGGCCAGCAGATAATGGGCTTGTTTTTAAACAGCTCTGGGGAAAAGCAAACTGACAATCTCTTCATAATCCTTCAGCTCAGACACGAGTGCCCCTCTGTGAACTGGAAATAGTAAGAAATGCCAAGATTAGTCTTTAAAAAGAGGGTCTATGGACAGATGAGCAGGGACGTCCCCTGTTCCAGCAGGTGACCGCTGGCACAGGAAGACTCTGAGAAGCCCCCAGCAACGCTGACTGGGCTTAATCCAGAGGTCCCCAAAGTCTGGCTCTAAACAACTTGCCAGAATGAACTGGAGTAATCTGGAGGATATTATGGGTTCACAGAGCTTGTCCTGAGTCAGGGCTTTGCTTTATCAACTGCCTACTCTGCACCAGGCACCTGAGCTTCTTCTCTGGCTCTCCTAAACCTCAGCGAGGTCAGTAGTATTCAGTGAAAGAGGAAAACACTGGAGGCCTACAGACTCTAGGGCTGACGTGCCAACTCGGTGGATTCCAGGAGCACAGGGACCCTAGGAGCCCTAGCAAGTGGGCAAGGCCCGCTCCAGGCTGGCCACTAGCCATTCTGAGCCTGAGCTTCCCCAACTGTCTCTGGGTGATGAGAAGAGCTCCTACCACATACAGGCAGGGAAATCGAAGTGGGCTCAGCTCAGGGTCCTTCTAGAGGAAGGTTTAGAGGGACTGAACCGTGGCCCCACCATGGAGCGTTCTCCCAAGGCCCCAAAGAACAGGTGGATTGATGCCGGAATGGGCTTGAACCCAGAGTCACAGCGTCCCACATGGCCTCCTCTTGGCTGTGATGGGGGCGGTGGCCGACCTCCGTCTGCTCGTGGGGACCTCCCTGCGGTGAATGACCCGGCTGTTCTCTGCCCAGGTACGAGAAGCTCATCGGTGGCAAGTACATGGGCGAACTGGTGCGGCTTGTGCTGCTGAAGCTTGTGGACGAGAATCTGCTTTTCCACGGAGAGGCCTCAGAGCAGCTGCGCACGCGCGGCGCCTTCGAGACACGCTTCGTGTCGCAGGTGGAGAGGTGCGCGGGGCGCTCAGGGGCTGGTGGTAGGGTACGGGTGGCGGTGTGCACGCAGAATTTCCAGGACCCATACGTGGAAGTCATGGGGGGTGGGGGGGGCGGGGCTCCAAGTGCGGGCCGGGCGGAGCTCAGGGGGGCAGAGGGCGGGGCCGGGACCCGGGGTCCCAGGGTAGCAGTGAGGTCCTGGGACGTGTGCGGGGAGCCGGGCTCAGAGGGCAAGGCGCAGGGCGCAGGGGCTCAGGACCAGCTAAGGTCCCGGGTTGGGGCACCGGGGGTGGGTATGTCTTCCGGCTCCAAGGGAACTCCCTGCGGAACAGTCGACGGAAACCAAGCCTCCCCTCTGTGGCTCCCCGACACGCCGTGGACCTAGGCTCATTTCATCCACACAACAGCCCAGAGGCGCGGCAGTTATCGTCCACGTTAGGGTGGAGACCCTGGGCTTAGACAGACGAGTAATGACCAAATTACTGCTGGTCCCTGGCGAAGTCAGACCCGCTCCCCTCGGGACTCGGTAGACCCAAGCTCTCTGCCTGGGAGAGGTGGGCAGGGGGAGGGGCAGAGGCCGCCGAGGTGGGAATCTGTCTGGTCCCAGGACAAGAGACCCTCCCTCAATGCCCTCCCATTCCCTCCCTGCAGCGATTCCGGTGACCGCAAGCAGGTCTACAATATCCTGAGCACACTAGGGCTGCGGCCCTCGGCCACTGACTGTGACATCGTGCGCCGAGCCTGCGAGAGCGTGTCGACGCGCGCCGCGCACATGTGCGCCGCGGGACTGGCGGGCGTCATTAACCGGATGCGCGAGAGCCGCAGCGAGGACGTGATGCGCATCACCGTGGGCGTGGACGGCTCCGTGTACAAGCTGCACCCCAGGTGAGCCCGCGCAGCCTTCTGCCAGTCCAACCCTGGTCCAGCCTGCGCCTTGTGAGTTTGCATCCTTAGGGCAGAATCCGGGCATTGGTCTCCATCTATGATACGCAGGCTGAGACGGAAGCTCTCCGAGGTCCCGAGAATTCTTAAACTCTCTGTACTCCCTTGGCCCCCAGACACAGGAGGAGGGTTCCCTTGTTTTACCCGCTGCGCTGCATTCAGCGCGGTAGCAGCAGCCAAGCTTCTCCTCTACGCAGCTTCAAGGAGCGGTTCCACGCCATCGTGCGCAGGCTGACGCCCAGCTGTGAAATCACCTTCATTGAGTCCGAGGAGGGCAGCGGTCGGGGCGCGGCCTTGATCTCCGCGGTGGCCTGTAAGAAGGCCTGCATGCTGGGCCAGTAAGAAGAAAGGCTGCAAGGCAGGAAGGAAGCTGTGGCCGGCTACTGGACCTGGGCGCCAGGGGACACTCTCCTTACAAGTCCCCCCAACCTGGCCCAATTGAGAGGCTTCTCCTTGTGAGGACCTTGGATGCCTCCCATCCCGGCTGTCACCCCCAGAAGATGGGGGAACACCTCTGGAGAGGTTGCGGAGGGCCCAGGCAGGCCTCTTCTCTCAGGGTCAGTTGGTGAGATAGCCCTAGGGCCCTGACTGGGTTGGGAGCAGAAATGAACAGGAATGGAGAACCCTCAAAGTACCTCGCCTTTCTTGCTGGAATCAAGGACCCAGAAGGGAGTTATTCACTCAGGATTTTGTTGCATTTCTACACTGCTTGTCTCTTGGAGCTTTCAGCCTGGCTCAGCCCTGGCTCTGAGAAGGGGGTGCCCTCTGGACCCTACTACGGCCTGGTTTCCCCACGAGCTCAGCCTGCGTGGGGAGGCAGCCCTCATCACCTGGCCAGACCTAGACTGGATTCCACAGGGGCCCTGGGGAGCTGCTGATCCCATTTCCCCCATTTCCCAGGAAATGGAAGGGACAGGCTCCAAGTGGAGGCTGTGGGTACCCTGAGGCCTGGATATGGCAGCCTTTTCCCTCCTATCCTGCCATCCCTGAGTGGTCTGTGGTTCTGGGATGGACCCTCACAGGAGATGCAGGAGACAAGAGTCCCCAAAGCCTCTGCCCAGAGCGGCCCAGGAAAAGGAGGAGTCCCCCCACCCACAGACAGGCCTGGGAGCATCTCTGAGATCGAGTCCCTGGCTCCCATGGCCCTGGGCACTCAAAAAGTCCAGAAGCACTCAGCACACCCCCCAAGGGACAAGCTAGGCCTCTTTCTTCTCAGCAGACTTCCATGTACCACACCAGCATATCCATGCCCAACCTGGAACTGTGTGGTTTTGTTTTTTTTAATTAAAAGTTTTAAAAGTTTGGAACATGACCTTGTCCCCTGTTCTTTGGCCTCTGTGTATGAGACTGGGGGACAGCACACATACAGACGTGATCCTGTGCACACAGACACTCTGCAGGCCAGGGCGTGTCTTGAAATCTGCCATCCTCTCTGGTGAGCCGTGCTGGGGAGTATGAAGAGTGACATACTTCCTGCAGGAGCGGGAATGGTTTGGGGGCAGCGTGGGGGTGTGGTTAGGGGTCCTGGACCTGACCAGGCCTCTGTGCACCAGCCCGTGGGATTCAGGGCGTGGTTCCACATGTCTGTCATCACTCAACAGCTCTGAGGTCTCAGAGCTTCAGTGCAGTCCTGGAGGGAGTGGGGCTACTCTAAGAAGGGGGACAGGGCTGATCTCTGGGGACTGGTCCTGCTGCAGGTTGGTCTCAGCAGGGAGTCCCTGGAGCCACTTGGGTTGTGACAGTGATGGAAGGGGTTGGAGACAGAATTACAAGAAGTCACATGGGGACTTCCCTGGAGGTTCAGTGGCTAAGACTCCGCACTCCCAATGAAGGGGGCCTGGGTTCCATCTCTGGTCTGGGAACTTGATCCCACATGCCACAACTAAGAGTTTTCATGCTGCAACTAAAGATCCTGCGGGCTGCAGTTAAGGCCCAGTGCAACCAAATAAATTTTTTTTTTTTTAAAGAAGTCACATGAGTTCTGTGATCCTTTCAAGCTTGCTCCTGAAAGAAATGCCTTTTTCACATTAGCCAAGCCTCAGGGCTAAGATCTTCTTACACACAAACCCAGTTACATATGAACATGTAAGATTGTAACATACACTCACTTTTTTTTTTCCAGGTTTTTGGATGCTGTTATCTTTTTTAATTTAATTTTCATTTTATGTTGGAATAGTCAGACATGACTGAAGAGACTTAACACATTGTTGATTTACAGTGTTGTGCTAGTTTTAGGTATACAGCAAAGTGGTTCAGTTATACATATACATATATCCATTCTTTTTCAGATTATTTTCCCATCTCAGTTATTACAGAATACTGAGTAGAGTTCCCTTTGCTATACAGTAGGTCTTTGTTGATTATCTATTTTATACATAGTAGGGCTTCCCCTGTGGCTCAGTGGTTAAAAAAATTCACCTGCAATGCACGAGACATGGGTTCAATCCCTAGGTTAGGAAGATCTGCTGGAGGAGGGCATGGCAACCCACTACAGTAGTCTTGTCTGGAGAATCCCATGGACAGGGGGGCCTGGTGGCCTACAGTCCATAGGATCACACAGTCGGGCATGTCTGAAGTAACTGAGCGCACATGCGTAGTGTGTATTACATTCACTCTTCAATGAGAGAAACCAGCAAATCTGGAATGACTATGTTGTTTCATTCAGTACTTAACCCAAAGTTGTGATTTTGAGTTTTCATGTCCTCCTTGAGATGCTGTCCCATTTTATGGTATGCCACATGTGGAATTACTTCTGATCTTTTTCTTTCTCTCAAGTCTAAATTATGCATTGGAAGTCTGTTCGAGTCTTTGATGATGTCATTATCAGTACTAATGTACTCACATTCCAGCATTCACCTACAGTATTGGATCTCACGCTACCATAAATTATTTTCTAGGTGTCTTTTGTGTTATGATTCAGGGCCCGATATTGATTGTTTAAAATTCTCCATGGAGGCAGGTTATAGGTATAGCCTATGAATTTCATCTTAGGAGAGTAAAAGAGGTGTTACAAGCTACTTGTCACACAAAAGGGAGCTTGGGTCTAACGGACAAGAACCCTGCTCTCCTAGTTGGCCTCCCTGCATCCTCACCTCAATGGGCAGAGGGACAGCCATGGGCCCTCTCCTGTTCTGGGTTCAGGGGAGCCGCCAACTACCCACTCTTCCTGCTCTGGCAAGTCCCCAGCCCCCCAGCCCTTTCTGCCCTGGGCCCACAGGGAGCTGAGAGGCTGCTGCTCTGGCACAGTGGAGGGAGCCCAGGCCCCTCACTCTGTAGTGAAGCTCCACAAGAAGGGTTTGGGACCCCCTTCCATGGGGGTCACAGGGGATGCTCGGGTCCAGGCAGTGCTCCATGCTCCAACAGCATCTCATGCAAGTTCTCGTCAGGGTCACCATTAGCTCAGGCCTGCCTTTTGCCCCTTGGTCAGAGGGGCGAGAGGCCAGGGCCAAGTGTCCTCACCTCGGGGAATCCCTGTTGGGGGAGGGTCTCGGGCCAGAGACCATCCTCAGAACCACTGACTCCCTTCCCAAGCGCAGCTGTCCCCGTGGCCTGGGCTGGAATTGCAGGAAGGACGTCTGGTGAGGGTAACAGTGACCCCTCGTTCAGCCCTGGAGCAGCGAGAGCTGCGAGCCTGCTCTTCTCTCAGGAGGCGGTGCACTCGGCAGTGCCGGGACAGGGGAACACTGCATGTCACACGTCTGTCGGGGGCCTGAAGGTCACTGGGAACGTGGCTGGAATCCGCTCGGGGGCCCCGTCTTCCCCCAGCCCAAGCAGAGGCTGCCAAGTTTGGGCCTATCCTCTCCTCCTGTCCTTATTTGGTGTTTCAGGTGATAAGGCTGAGACATAAAGGGGGCTGTGGGCCCCTCGAGGCAACCAGGCCGCTGCAGAGAGAGAGGATGGTGAGTGCCAGGTGGGGGACTCCAGGCCAGCGGACTCCCAGGTGCTGTCCTCTGGGCTGGGGGCGTGGAGCCGGTACCAGAGAGGTGGTCTCCAGGGAGAGAAGCAGGACCCTGGGCCCCTGTTCTCCCGGAATGTTCTAGGGTTGTTGATGGCAGGGAGTCTTTGGGGAGCTGGGGAGAGGACCCGTCCCCACCTGTGGTGTTGCAGGCCAGCAGGAAGGCAGGGACCCGGGGCAAGGCCGCGGCCACCAAGCAAGCCCAGCGAGGCTCTTCCAACGTCTTTTCCATGTTCGAGCAAGCCCAGATCCAGGAGTTCAAGGAAGTGAGTGCCCCACTCCCACCAGCCTGGGCCCCATCTGGGCACCGTGCCCCCAATACATCCCTTCTTCCCTGTAGATCAGGGGTCTTGGCCCCTGTCCTTGTTCCTCCCACCACCCAGGACCCCCTCACCTCCTGCCTTGCCTGGGGTGTGGGCTGCTCCCACTGGAGACTGTGGCTCCCCCCCCCCCCCCCACCTCACAGGCCTTCAGCTGCATCGACCAGAACCGTGATGGCATCATCTGCAAGTCGGACCTTAGAGAGACCTACTCCCAGCTCGGTGAGAGCACCGGTCTCCTGCCTGGCCCAGCCCCTCTCGCACCAGGGACCCGGCTCAGAGCCGCTGGCTGGCCCAGCCTCTACTCCTGTCCTGGCTCACACCACCCACCCACCCCCAGACCACCTTCCTTTCACGTCACCTCCCCCACCCAGAAAGCGTTCTCTATCCTTGGTGGCTGGGATGGGGGAGGGGCAGCCCAGCCCTACTCAGAGACACTCAAGGGCCCTGTGTCCATCTAACATCCCCACAGGGAAGGTGAATGTTCCAGAAGAGGAGCTGGATGCCATGCTGCAGGAAGGGAAGGGACCCATCAACTTCACTGTCTTCCTCACACTGTTTGGGGAGAAGCTCAATGGTGAGCCCGGGGCAGGGCTGGAGTCCCTGGATGGGCAGCAAGTGTGCACTCCACCTGGACCCTGCCTGGACCCAGCCTGAATCCCACCCAGAGCCTGTCCAGACCCCATCTGGCCCTTGCCCACCCAGAAGATGTGGGGCCCACCTCTGCATTCCATGAGCACCGATCACCCCAAGCCTCAGTGCTGGGAAATATGCCTTCGCTTTCACTCCCAAATCCCCAATCCCAACCTTCTGGCCAAGCCCACCATCTCAGAAAGACAGCCGATCCCAGCTTCTCTGAGCCCCAAGGAGCACTTTGTATCGGGTACCCTCCCCGCTCTCTGTGATATGGAAGGTTCCCTCCCGCACCCCGGGTTCCTCCTCGGTGAGGCTGGGAAGCTGGCTGTGTGGGTGCTCACCTGGCTCCCTTGGCCTCCCAGGGACAGACCCTGAAGAAGCCATCCTGAGCGCCTTCCGCCTCTTTGACCCCAGTGGCAAAGGCGTGGTGA